TGTTGATTTGCAAAGGGTTGTTTTTTTTTTTTTTTTAGAATGGCTAATCCAACAGGCTTCAATATTAGCTAGGAAAATGTTACAGATTGACAGTCTTTTCCAAAGTCTTCTTTCATCATCTTGTCTTATTTGTAAGCAATATGGAGTTGGCCCTTTGGCCAGGAAAAAAATAAACAAGCAAGACAATGTCAGTGGTCACAATGGAAAAATTCTCTATTAAACCTGGACCACTGTCAGCAATTCACATTTTCTCAAGCCAGCTGTTGAACATTTCTATTTTGAGATGCAAATAAGCTGCTTTTCTCTGCCTCACTCAGATTCCAGGCTTTCTCTAAAACTCTAGGTTAGGTAAGTGTTGCAGCCATCTGTGTGGCTGCCCTCTGGCTGGCTTTACTTGTCTGCACTGACTCTGCTTCAGTGCCTAGAAGGGACTGCAGTGCATCAGATCTGATATGCTGCTAGTGAGCCTGATGCCACCTTCCAGAGGACTGCCTGCAGCCTCTGACAGCTTCAGAAAGGTTGCTTTCCCCTTTCTGCCCTCACCTTGTAAATCTCAATCAAACCATAAACAGCTAACACATTCAGTAATTTAGCATTGTTTTTACAGTTGGACAGACTCTTTTTTTAAGGGAATGTTGTAATATTTGTGATTTATGTATTTAACCACTTGAGCATTATTAGGACGAAAGTAATTGATTATAATATATATCTGAAACACCAAGGTCAGAAAGACTGGAGTTGCCCAGTGATGGTAATCTTCCATTTATTGGTGCTTTGGATAGAGCTATTCAGGGACAGAGATGGCTGGCTCAGAACAAATTAAGGAATATCAGTACCAGGGAACTTGCTCAAATTCCTCTGGTATTTCGAAAACACATGTGAAGCTGGTGGCTCAGGAAACTGATTGTGGTTCCAAGCCAGTCTGAGCAGGAAAATCCATGAGACCCATTTTCTCCAATTAACTACCAGGAGACCAGTAGAGCTCTGGTTCAGGTGGTAGAATTTCACCCTTGAGTGAAAAAGCCATGGGACAGGGCCCAGGCCCTGAGTTCAAGCCCCAGAAATTGCACAAGAAATAAATAAACCAACAAATACATAAGAAAACACATGTGGAATCCATTTATTCTCTCACTAAACTAGATAGAGTTCCCTAATGTTTTAAGGATCTAACAGGAAAATATTTAAGTGACTTTATATGTCACTCACCTCCAAAACACCAAAGCATAAACAATTTAACATTCAGTTGCTGTAGCAACTGTGAGGGCTTTCTGAAAAGAATGAAGGCTCTCAGAATCTTTTTCTTTTCTTTTCCCTCCCTTCCTCCCTCTTTTCCTTCCCTTCCTTCCCTCCTTCCCTCCTTTCTCCCTTCCTTGCTTCCTTCCTTCCTTCCCTCCCTCCCTCCTTCCTTGCTTCCTTGCTTCCTTCCCTCCTTCCTTCCTTCCTTCCTCCCCCCTCTCTCTTTCTTTCTCTTTTTGTGCCCATCCTGGGGCTTGAACTCAGGACCTGTGTGCCATCTCTGAGCTTCAATTGTGCAAGAATAGCGCTATACTACTTGAGCCACAGATCCATTTCTTTTCTTTCTTTCTTTTTTGTAGTCTAGTGGAGAAAAGTCTCATAAACTTTCTTGCCTAGACTGGCTTTGAACTGCGGCCCTCAGATCTCACCCTCCAGTGTAACTATGATGGTGTGAGACACCTGCACCCAGTTCTGTCATGTTCATTTTTTAAAATTTAATTTATTTTTTAAAAATTACTTTTAGGGGGCTGGGAAGTTGGCTCAGTGGTAGAGCGCTTGCCTTGCATGCCTGAGGCCCTGGGTTCGATTCCTCAGCACCATGTAAGCAAAAAAAAAAGCCAGAAGTCGCACTGTGGCTCAAGTGGTAGAGCGCTAGCCTTGAGCTGAAGAGCTGAGGGACAGCACTCAGGCCCAGAGTTCAGGCCCCACGATCGGACACACACACACACACAAAATTACTTTTAGTTAACTGGGTGCCAGTGGCTCACACCTGTAATCCTAGCTACTCAGGAGTGCTGAGATCTGAGGATCGTGGTTCAAAGCCAGCCCAGACTGGAAAGTCCATGAGAATCTTATCTCTAATTAACTACCAGAAAACTGGAAATGGTGCTTTGGCTCAAGTGGTAGAACGGTAGCCTTGAGCTGAAGAGTGCAGAGACTATGCTCAGGCCCAGAGTTCAAGCCCCACTACCACCACCAACAAAAAAATATCTTTAGTTGTACAAATGGTTTCAATTTAACATAACAATTTATGAATACACTGCATCTTGATCAATGTCACCCCTTCTCCCCATCCCTCCCAACCCCACCCATCATCCCCTCAAGTTATCGGGTTCCATTTTCACATATGTACATCGTCTACTACGACAGTATTTGCCCAGCCTTTCTCTCTCCATTCCTCCGCCCTTCCCCTCTACTTCTCCAGCACACATCACATGTTCCAGCTCCCTGCTATTCATTTTGTCTTTAAGGAGTTACACAATTGCAATCCACTCTTCCAAATTCAGAATTTCTAATTTTTAAAAAAATTTTGCCAGTCCTGGGGCTTGAAGTCAGGGCCTGGGTGCAGTCCCTAAGTGTCTTTTGTTCAAAGGATAGTGCTCTACTACCACTGAGCCACAGTACCACTTCCAGCCTTCTGAGTAGTTTATTGGAGTCTCATGGCCTGGGCTGGTTTCAAATAGCAATCCTCAGATCTCAGCCTCCTGAGTAGCTAGGATTACAGGCATGAGTCACCAGTGCCTGGCACAAATGCCATACTTTAGATAATATGCTTATATATATATGTACATATTCAAATTGTCATAATCTTATCTGAGAGTAGCCAAGAGCCTGGGGCCTTGGGCAAAACCTACCACCTATGGTTTTGTGTCCCACATAGAGTGCTAGATTTGTAGGATAGTTACACTTAATGCTCACCAAACCCTAAGAGCAACACAGGTTATAAAATCTATATGGGTCCCATTCTGGCTGAGAAGGCTTTCTATGGCCCAAAGGTGAACTCTAGAGGATGGTTACCATTTGATAAAATATTAATTTTACAACCATGATCGTAAGTCCTTGAGGCTTATCTCCAATTGACCAGCCAAAAGCCAGAAGTGGAGGTATGGCTCAAGTGATAAAGTGCCAGCACTGCACAAAACAGAGTTCTTTAGCACCAAAGGAGTATTCTGAACATAATTACTGATTCTAAAAAAAACTAATGATTTTCAGTAGAGAGTTGAGATGCATTTATTGAAACTTGGCTCATTTCCATTTTTTCCCTTCCCAGTTTGTGCCTGTCAATTAATTCTTCACATTCCTGGTTCTGTGCTAGAAAACATCCAGAATTGGTCTCTAAATCAAACTTTGATTCTACCAAAGCTGACCAGCGAATGGTAATATTGCACATATTCCCTCTCTAATTTCTCTCCAGGAGGTGGTGGAATCTGGTGAATTTCATGTATGCCCTTGAAATGTTGCTAATTGGGGCCAAAGCCATGTTTTACATTCAACAACTCCTATTGAAATGACTAAAGGCTGAGTGGACCCAATCTCTGAAATGACATTAGATGGTGCAATATTTGGTGTTTAACAGGCTTGAGAATAAGAGTTCATTATGTAGGTTAACCCTATCGCTTGCCCACAATACTTAAGACACAGAATGAGCCAGAAGGACTAAAAGGAACAAACATAAAAGGAAGAAGAAAGAAAGAAAGAAATGGAAAACGGTAGAATGTTAACTTATCTTTCCTGCATTCTGTCACACTGACCATGATCTTTGCAGGTAGAGGCCCAACACCCGCTTTGGAGGAGCAACAAAAGGAACTGGGAAAGAATCAAGGGCCCAGCCATCCACAGGCAGGGGGATCCCTGCCTATAAATCTTACAGCCTAATCGTGCAGCTTGATGTTTCCTACTCACTCATTCCCCCTTTCGGGTCTTCTCTCTTCCTTGCTACGCCTCTGGCGATTTTCTGGCCCATAAATGAATGAGGAAGCCAAGTGTAGGAACTTTCAGGCACACCCCTCTCCCCCCTCCCGGATTCAAAGAACGAGCGGCTTGAGTGGATTCTAGATCCAGATGCGCCAGGGGGAAGAGTGGCGAGGATCTTCCTGACTGGCGGCAACGCCCCCTTCCCCTGCTCCGCGGCGCGGTGACTTTATTCTGGGGTCGGATGGGACCGGGGGAGAAACCCCAGCCACAGTCTTCTAGGGTGCCTCTTCCTGGCGCTGCTGGCTGCGGCAGGTCTTATCCCCCCCACCCCTCCGCACCAGAGCACAACGCCGAGGTCCAGGCAACAGAATACGTCCAGCCCCCTGGAGGCAGCGTCTGAGCCCCGGGTGGCATCGGGATCGCCCTCATCCCACCCCGGGAGGGACCCCAGCGCGCCCGTCGCAGTAGCCTCCCCTCCACCCGCGGCAGCGCACGTGCGTTTCCCCGGACAACAGCAGGCGAGGCCTCCGCGCGCTCCCGCCGCGCGGCCGCGCGCGCGCTCTCCGCCCGCCCTCCTCGCGCGTGCTCGTGCTCGCGATCGCGGCGGCGCGCCTCTTCTCCCCGCTGCGGGCGTCGCGGGTGCAGGAGGAGGCGGAGCGGAGGAGGCGGAGGCTGGGGCGGGCGGCGGGCTCCGGCGGGGGCGCGCGCCGGCCAGCGGGGCGGGGGCGGCCCGAAGGCATCGGGGTGAGGGGGCTCCAGAGCCCGAGGACCAACGTCTTCCCCCCACCCCGGGGTCGACTCCGCCGCGGGAGGGCGAGCGCGGGGCGCCCCAGCGGTGGGGACTTCGAGGCCGCGGCCCGGAGCCGGCGCCCCCGCCCCCGAGCCTGACGGGGCGTTGAGGCGGGATGAGGCGCTGGCGCTGGGGGCGCCCGGCGGAGCCCCCGCGGCGGCCCTGGGCAGCCAGGCGCTAGGCTCGGAGGCAGCGGCGGCCACGGCGACCACGGCGGCGGGTGAGGGCGCCGGGCCGGGCCCGCGGAGGGCAGACACGGAGCGGCGAGCGGGGCGCAGCGACGCCGCGGCGGCGCGGCGGGGCCGCGGGGCTCGGTAAGGCGGGGGCGCGGGAGGGCCGGGGGGCTCCGGGTGACGTGGGCCGGCCCTGCGAGGGTGAGGCTGCGGGCCGGGCGGGCGGGCGCGGTGGGGGGGGGGGGGGTTGCTCTTCCTTTCCAGAGGGAAAAAAATGCGGTTGAAAGTCAAGGTTCTGGATCGAATGTTCTCGGAGGACCATCTCGGGTTTCCCTGGGTCTCTTCCTCTAGACTCATCTCTCTGGCCTCCCGGGCGACAGGGTTGCGGGGCGGCGGTGGGGGGGGGGCGCCGCCTCCCGCGCTCGCACCCTGCGTTCCCCCATTGCCTCAGCGACCGGGGCGGCGGGGGGGGGGGGGGCGGTGTGGCCGGTCTGCTGCAGTGCTCCCCGCCGCAGGCCAGAGTCAGGCCACAGCCGCAGCTCCCCCGGGAAGGGCCAAGTGGGGTCCAGGGGATCTGGCTGCTCCTAGAGCAGCCTTCCCGGCCCCCTCCAGTTGCGCTGTGGACGACCTGTGAGGAACTGGTCCTGGTGTACTTGGGGGGGGGGGGTGGCGTTGAGCAAGATGTCATCGCGCCCCCGCCCCCCCCCCCCCCCGCCCCCTTGCTTGTGGAGTTCCTCCCCCCTTGTCTTTCTAATTGGCTGAAGTTGCTGCTACATGTTGGACTACAGTGGTGACAGAGCCTCCCCCTCTCCCCCCACTGCAGGGTGCCTTTCTCATTTTGTTGACTAGAGTAAATATTTATGTTACACATTTTCAGCACACGCTATGGAGAGGGACTGTCAAGACCTGATTTCTGAGCGTTAGGCAGCCTCTGGGCCCATTCTGCATCTGAATCTTAGAGAAGGTGATGGGATCCAGGAGGAGGAGGAGAAGGAGGTGCCTAGGCAGATGCTTGGGATGCAGTTCGAACAGTTATCTTTTTAGGAAATAGAATTTAGATAATTATAATTTTGATCTGCATGCGGAATTACAATCAGCATGTAAACTGCTCGGGGCACTGCATGATGCTACACGGGTAAGCTGGCAGCTGGGCCAGGGCATTGTTGTCAGCATCTCTTTTATTTTCCATTCTTCCAGAGTTTTATTTGGCACTGATTTAGACCTCTTAAGTACATCTGAATGGGAATAACTTTGCTGATACATTGGTTGCTTTTGTAAACATTGCCCTCATTTGTGTTTTTATTGGAAGAAGAAAAAGCAAATGGTGCTGTAGTGTAGTGGCTCTTCCAGTCTACAAAGTGTGTTCCTTTGACTCAGTATCTGGATTTGTTGTAATTTTTTGAGTAATGATGGTTGTGATTCTTTTGTGTATTGTCCTTTATTGAGCTAAGTGAAATCTGAGAATCAAGATTTGTTCTTTGGACTTGAGTGGGAAGGAAAGTAGCATCAATAATTGGCTGCCACAACCCAATCTCAGAGTTTTTTTTTCAGGTATTTCTTGGCATATACTTCTTTTCAGAGGATTGTTGGTGGAGATGAGGTGTTACGATGTTTCCATTTCCATTTTCAGGAATGCCTGGGGTCTGATTCTTTCTAAAATCGGACATGTGGGAATGTTTTACAGAATAAGTATCTGTAATCGTGTGAGGTTGGGGCTGTGATAAAGCCCAGCTATCTTCTTATCATGGTCCTGTTAGCAGTCCTTGGAATAAAGCAGCACTTTGGACAGAGACTTGTCCAGCCACAGCTGGGGTGGCAGTCCACTTTACTCATGATCCTGCACATGGAGGTGGGGGCGGGGGAGACAGGGTGAAGTAGTGGGGGGACAATAGAAGTGTGACAGAGAGGGAATGTTAGTTGAAGAACCTTGTTCAGTTATATAACTGTTTTGTTTTTGAGGGAGAGACTAAGAACCAGCAAGGCAGGCTCAACTGTCATTAGAGCCTTTGATGTTGCTTTGAATTCCAGTAGTAGTTAGGTTCCTTTTATTTCCCTTTTCAAACCCTATGTTATTTCCCAATCACCAGAAGCTTATCCACACTTGGGCCGAAGTCTTTAGTGGCAAAACATTCATCTGAACTTCTTTCTGCCTCTTATTGTCTTTTTTTCCGTTTTCTTTTTTGGTAGGACATCAAAGATGGTTTTGTTATTGTTGCTTGGTATGTCTGAATGATTTTCATAGTTTTTCCTATGCATGTTGACCCAGGCATATTAACTGCATAGTATATGTAGGTTCAGTGTTGCCTGTAAATGCATTTAATAAATGTCAGGGATTAGCAGCCGTTTTCTTCATAGCACTGGTAGCAAATGAAAAATGAAATGAACTAATAGTAGTTTTATCTTTAAAGGTAACTAGCATTCTTGCGATCTCTTAGTCCATTAATGAGCAGTCTGATGTCTATGAAAGTGTTAGAAGGCAGCCAGGACTTGAGCTCAGTCCATGGCTATACTTCTGTCACTTATACCTGAGTAGGCACATCATTGGCATTTCTGAGTTTGTTTCCCTTATTTATAAACTAGGGATGAGAACACTTGAAGAGGTTTTTTGTTTTTTTTTTAAGGACTAGATGATTAGAAAGGATGTGGAAATGCTTTGAAAACGGTTTCAATGTGTAAGGTATTACTGTTATTCCATTTAAATTTAGTATATTTAAATACAGACCTACTTCACTTGGCAAATTGACCTAGAAAACTGTTTCATTTTGCTTTCACGTGGGACCGAGGATGGAACCCAGGGTGTCTCATGTGCTATACAGGTACACTAGCACTGAGATACATCCCCAGCCCTTTGCAGACGTCATTTATTTATTTTTTTTGTGCTGCTTGCTGGGGTTTGAACTCAGGGCCTGAGTGATGTTGCTTACCTTTTTTGCTCAAGGCTGGTGCTCTACCACTTGAGCCACAGCTTCACATCTAGCTTTTAATTAACTGGGTTCAAACAAAGATCCTTAACATTTTAGCCTCCTGAGCAACTAGGATTATAGCATGGACCATCAGTACCCAGCCCTTGGTAAAATTTTTTAATACTTTAACGGAAATATAAAAAAATGTTGCTAAATACCAAGAATGTGCTAGATTTCTTCTAGTTCCAAAGTTTGTGATTCTGGGTCATTTTTGAGGAAATCCATAATGTAGCGCTTAGAATTTTTGAGTCAGGAATCTTTAGTTATTCTGAAACAAGTTTGTTGAGACTCAAGAGTTTCTTGTGTTGAGACTTAGAGTTTCTTGAAAGTATCAGTTCAAAGTACCCAAGGAAGTTACAAGTTGGAATTTGTGAGTTGCATTTTTTAAAACTTTTTTTTGCATTATTTAGGACATATTTGCCAAAATATGTCTGTGGACCTAGATGGCTCATGAGCCATGATTTTTAAATGATTGAAAAAAATGAAAAGGAGAGTAATGTTTCATGAGAAACTTTTTTTTTTTTACATATATATTTTTTTAATTGTGAAAATGCTGTACAGAGGGGTTACAATTACATGGGCAAGATAGTGAGTACATTTCTTATCAAGCATTGTAGCCTCCTCCTTTGTTTACCCTTCCCATCCCTTCCCAGCCTCCCCCTTTCCCCCCCCAATCCTCCCCCCCCCCCCCACCAAAGTTGTAAAGTTCGTTTTGGACATGACAACTTGTACTTCTCATTGTTGCAACGGGTCCACCTGTATCCTTATTTAAACAATTTGTTTTTCCCCTTCCCCTCCACAAATTATACCGACATCAAATACAGTGAAAGCAGGGATTATACTGTGGGGGAGGGACATACAAAGCAACAAAGAAATAATCTTATAAATGCGTTAGAAACAAATGCATGAAAGAAAAAAAACATTTAAATACATATCTTAGGGTTCATTTTCCTAACATCACCTTATCTGACCTTTTCTGCTTGACTCATACATATACTAGATATTGCAAATAAGGGAAACCATGGAACCTATGTTTCTTTGGGATTGGCTTACTTCACTTAGTATAATTTTTTCCAAGTCTTTCCATTTCCTAACAAATGGGGCAATGTCATTCTGATGGAGGCATAGAATTCCATTGTGTATATATATCACATTTTCTTGATCCATTCATCTACTGGGGCATTTGGGTTGGTTCCAGCTATAGTAAATAATGTTAGTGTCTTTAAGTAAAGTTTTAGTAGGGCATAATCCCACTCACAATCATTTGTGTTGTATATGGCCACTTTGGTGTACAGTCGAAGAGCTGAGCACTTTTGGCACAGTGTGGCCTGCAGTGCCTACAATGTATATTTTTTGTCCTTTTATAGAAAATGTTTTTCAATCCTGATTTAGCACTTGACCATTTTTTACTGTAATTAGCACGAGTAGTATTTCCTATCATAGCATTATAAAGTTAAGACCTGTGGAAATGCACCAATTTTTGTTTTAGAGCGAGAGAGACTTAAGTTCAGATTCTAGCCGTGATGTTTACACACTTTGCCCCTGGGAATCCTAACATCGTGTGCTTTGAGCATTTCCATTGAAACAGGATATAGTAGTGGTTCTACTTTAGACTGTTGTAGGAAAGATTAAATGAAATGATACACTGCCATATAGCAAGCATTTGGTAGGTGACATGTGAGAGTGCTGTAAATTCTGTGCTAAAAATTCCTAAAATACTCTATATTAAATCCAACCTCAGATTACAGAGTTTTTCTCCAGAGGACTTTGCTATTTGTTATGAAAATTTCTCTTTTATTGAGATCATTTGTTTAACAGCTAATAACTACAACAACTTGAGAAATTTCTTGTGTTTCGCTGTATATTTAATAACTACCTGCATATTTCAGATAGTTAAGAATGAGCGGATTTCATGGATTGTTGTTATTGATCGTTACTTGAAATGTTCTTAATATTTGCAGGGTGCAGTTAAATACCAATTCTATTTTGGTGCTGATTTTTTTTTTCTAAAAAAAGAAATGTGTGAGAAAAACCTGTTTTAATTAGGTCAGGGTTAGATAATGTTTCCTGTGTGTATGTTTTACTCTTAAGTCTTTCTTGTGATTTGCATTAACATCTCTGTTAACCATTCTCTTCAGAGTTGAAATAATAAAAGTTAATTTTTTTCTTAATGTTAAA